AAATTAATGATGAATAGTCTGTACGAAAGTTGCTTGCATATAAACCGTGCTAACTGAGTAGTAATAACATTGGGGAAAAAAAAAGTACAAGAGACTCAAATTCAAACAGTCCACAAATTGCAATCAAAGCGGCGGGTGTTTTGCGACAAAAAGAAATGAAATAAAGGTCAACATTAATTACAAAGTGATTGTTCTTCAAATGAAAATGTATTATATGACGCCGAGTTGCTCATTTAGCACAGTATCGACTGAAGCAAGCAGAGCATTGGCCGGTTCGGGCTTGTGAATTTCGAATCCTTTGCTTTTCGATCATTGCACAAGCCAAACATGCAGGCCATTCAGGATCAACATATGACGAGTTGGATTGAGTTGCAATATGGAAACCGTTTTGAAAGAATCCATCAATCTCTTGCCACTTCTCAAACAATAAAGGGTTCAGAAATGCAGATATGTCAACTTGCTCGTCAGTGACCAAATGTAATGAAGAGCTCTTACAGTGTAGTCCGTTTGCATGGTTGGCATGTCTGTTTGTGCTGATACAAAATGGTTGGGAAGGTAGAGTATCAGGGGTGCGTTGGGATCCTCACATCCGAACAGTGTCGGTCTTCTATCATATCCAGCAGAGGTAAAGCTGCCATCCATTGCGTTGGGTACTCTGTGATTTAAATACCCCTCAAACATAAATCAATAGTGTTCTCTATTCAATTGAGAGCGAAACTTCAGGCATAGGACTTGGCCACTGACTTTGGGAATGCGTAACCTTGGTAGTTTGGGTCTTGCAGTTTGAGAGAAGTTAAGTATAAGGTAGTGCCATTTGGATCTGTTGTTACAAAGGAGTTGAGCAAGCTGTGAGTTGAGTGGAAGTTTGAGATAATACTGACAACCATGGACGTTTGGATTTTCAAATGAGTGTCCATTAACGGTCTACAAAACAACTAATTCATGTTAGCTTGACAGGTACTCGCACTCACCGTCAAATTTCTCAACTCACCGAGTCTATAGCCAGTATGATGTCTACATTTCTGGCTGGCTGTATCAAAGGGAAGAGAGGTAGATTCTCCGAAGCCATGGCACCATCAGCGAGTAGGAGGGTGTCTAAATTCGAGTCTTCAAATCCCACGTCGCCAAACATTCCAACTGCTTTTCCTTGGAAGGGATTCGGAACCTGATGGTAAAATTATCAACACTTTCGATTGGTCGTGGTTACGGAGAAGCTAGTTAATGGTACTAACCAATGCCTCATAAAATTCACCCTTGATGAACAGCTTCAGGAGCTTTGCCCAAAATGGTGGGTCCGGATCCGAGCCGTCCTGTAGAGCAATTGTCATTCACATAGACCTTGGATAAGTGCGGTATAGTCGTTTTGAAATATGGCTCACCTGAAAGCTGAAGACATTACCGTTTTAGAGGA